AATGATCGCGCAGTTCGACCTGACCCCAGGAGGAGAACTGACCGTCTACCGTGGATAAGCCCTCGTATTCGTACTTGAAGAATCTCACCAACAGTCATCTAGTGGAAAGGAAGTCTTTGTGGGGTGTGTGGGAGTTATGATTAGCAAGTCCAAGAATCTACAAGGTTTTTGTATGTGACTGTGTTATAGAAGAACAGTAGATTTACTCAGCTCCGTAGAAATTGTTGCTGTGGTTTGCAAAATGACCCCCACCGTTTAGAAAAAGTTGCAATATGTAGCCTAAGTACGAGGACATTACTATTTTCATATAAGATTCCGACCTTCAAAAGTATCTACATGAAGAAAAAGGGCGGTTGTCGAAGATCAGATGGCCGTGGAATAGGAGCCCTTGGAATCTCACACACTCGTAATTCCCCTCTCTTCCCCTTTTGGAGCTCAGTCGCGTTCGAATAAACGAGATACTTGACAAGATTTGAATGCCTTGCCATCTCGCTACCCCCTAATCTTGCGGTAGCGATTGAAAATACGTGCTAGCTAGAACAACCTCTAGGCCCTCTGAACTCCAAAACATTTCCCAAGACGGGCTGAATCCGTATCTGTTGTTCAAGTAGTCCAGAATTTCCTTGGAATCCTCAGTAACCAACCAGGAAGTCACCCAGAGCAGGAAAACACTGAGCACTCTCCACTGCAACGGGCGCATGGTTAGACATCGCCAAAAAAGCTCCACTGGCGCTCCTCGGCAGGTGTCATCTATCAAGTAGATAAGAACGTTTCCGAACAGAACCCGATCACGCGCCCCTCGCACTTTCCTGTGATCCTATCGCTTTGCGTGGCGTCGATTTTCGATTGAACACCGAGAATATTTGCTTAAAATCACACACGTCTTCCTCTCAGTTGTCTTATCGTCTGGCGTGTTTTCATTTTTCGAAGCTGGAAAAACGCAGTGACGCTGATTCTGTGTCAGCGCACTTCCCGGTCCCTAAGCGGGCCAAGTGGAGCGTCCACTCGGTATCGTGCCGTTCGAGGGTATTTACAGCACGTTCCCCACAAGTGACTTCGCAACACCTTTTGGTACCTGAAACGTGCCCCAGGTTTTTTCTACTTTGAAGGGAAAATTGTAAAAATCAATTCTGAAGGTCACCCGCTCACTTCCAGCGCTAGCCAGAGAGCCCTAGACACATTTCTGCCTAACTATCATCAATTTTCGAAGGACGGTCAACATTCCTTTGCTGTCAGACCACCTAGTGGTGAGCGAATGCCGATCGAATTCCGGATTCTGCCTTAAGAATTGAAGACGTTCTTCGACGTCCTCATAGGCAGTCATACCCTCAAGGGGTCTGACATGCTAAAAACGGGGCCAAAACTGAAAAATGCCATCCGGGGATGTTCCCATGAGGAAAAACGCCATTTTCAAGGAATAGAGCGATTCTTGGCCAAAATTCGGAAGTGATTCCCAAAGCTTTTCAACGACGAAGAATTTCAAGGTAGTCGCTGCCAAAGCGGCTTTCGAGAGCGCTTGTCCTTCGCCGTTCCCACGTAAGCGTTTACTGCTCTTTGGAAGGCGATTCTGACTCCTCTGGTGCTTCAAACGGCTTTGTACTTTAGTGATCGGCCCTTCCTAAGTTTTCCTCCCAGCCAGCTTCGTTTCATAGCTCCCAGCAGGCGATTTAGGGCCTTATGCTCACGAATTCGTCCCACCCATTACGGCCAACAGCTTATTTACGATTGTTTTCTTCACAGCCCAGCACTGAACAGGCGCTGAAGCTGGCGACAAGAAAAACTTTCCCACCACTTCCTAGGTAACTGATGTCGGGTGGATGTGTATTGTAGAGTCGAGAACCCGTCAGCTTTCACAGAAGTGAGCAACAGTCCAAGTGCCCCTTTCCGATCCATTCTGCTCTATGAACACGAACTCCCAGTCACTCTGGAGTATCTCCTCTAACCCTGTTTCCCATCCAGGTTTCCTCATTTCCTGTGTTCTGATTTATTGCTGAGAAAGAGCTTCCGACGCCCAGCGCTCAGCACCTTTTAAGAATACCCTCTGTTTTTTAATCCAGCACCATCCGTTCCACCCTTCCAACCCCACTTCCTCCCGAGCAGTCGCATTCTTAAGCCGATGTAGCCCTGAGAAGTTCGGAGTGTTTTGTTTGTTGGAGGCTGAGTCGATGCAACGAAGAGGTAACCTTAGCCGTCTACGGTAACGAGCCAATCACTGGAAACGCGATACCCCTCCCGGCTTCACGCCTTCGGAACCTGGCTACTTGGCCGTGAACGACGACGAGTCTCGGAGGGCTTTTACCTTCTTGGCTCGTTATGCTATCGATTTATCATGCTTTGTTTCCTTAATTTTTATTTGAAGTTAAGCTTGGCTATCTCTCAATGTGCCTTTTCTGCTACTGTGCAATCATAAATGGCTACTGCATATTTATTGCCATGCCCTTTCAATGTTCTTTGCCCGTGTTATCTTAATGAACGGATCTGACAGTTGCGGAGTGCTTAACAATCGCTTGGGCAACAACGCGCCAGTGTTCCTGTACAAATTGTCGCCCCACGCCCAACAAATCCAGAGGAATTCCTCCTTCCGGGAAGCGGCTCCTTTGAACGTTTAGCACTTTGCAGCCCATAACCGACTTCTGTGAACCTTGCTTTGACGGAAGGGAATTAAGGTAAGCTCCATTGTCGTATTAGGTACCAACCCAGCACGGATCTTTAAGGGGCCCGTTAGGCTTTGTACATTCATCCTTGCATCAGAACTGTGAGTTTTCGAAAGCATTCAATTCCCTCTGGCCATTTTTATGCGTGAGATTCTGCTTGTTTTCCCATTTTTCAAAGAAGGAAGTTCACTCTGTCTATCTTTCAGTGTGCTTTGACAATTCGTTTTGGCTTTTTGTTGACCTTTATTCTTTGAAACTTCTCTTGTCTGTTTGCTTACTTGGTTTTACTGCTTTACGTGAACTCTCTCCAAATAACAATTTCTCTCCCAGTTGTCACAATATCGCGAAGAATAGAGGAAGAACATGGCGCAAATACCCAAGCAAGGTCAACATAATGACGAGCCGACATCCTCGAAGGCAGGCCGCCTCAGATCACTATAGGGTGGCTCTTGCCACGCAAAAGGAACACTATTGGTAACAGCGAAATCGGGCCGGCAGTAAAGAGAAAAAGGAAAAGAATCCGTCAAAAACGCTTAGGTTAAGGGCTCACTCACCTTCCTGATCGGCTGTGCTAAGGGAATGAGAGACTAAGCGCGGAGAGGAGAGTATGAGGCGAGAGAGCGCTACAGATGAGAGAGCGCCAGACAACAGCCTGATAAGAAGAAAAAGTCTGCAGCTCTAGGCAGCTTACTTTGCAAGGCCCAAGCGCTCTTATCGGTCGGTTTCCGTGCACGAGTAAACATGCCGCATTTGTGATATCCTCTAAACGATCTACACTGAAGGTCCAAAGGAAGACGTCACGGACGACCAACTGCCGTCGTATCTTGAGCCCTATCCCTTCACTACTTGAACAGGCATTTTGTGGGTCTAAAAGACAGCATGCATAGAGCCTGATCCATTCTTATGTGCGAAAACACACACCATTTTGTGGAGGATCCTCAGAGATGACAATGTTTGAAAGGAGAGGCGCGAGACGCTTGCACTTATAATGGATCAACGAGAAAATTACACGACAAATACCGTTAACGTGCTGAAAAGTCAAGTTGAATCCAAACCACCAGGTAACGCGTTGCGCAGATATCAAGAATTCCGCGAACCCGCCCCCACCTCCTTTAAGGAGTCTCAATACGCCAAACCCTGTTACTACCGAATCTCAGATTAGGAGCCTCCCATACACCTCTAGCACCACCTCGACCATCACTCTCACCATCAGGCCTGTTTTGCTCAAACGCTTGCTAAGTGCTTGATCTGGCGAGCGACCGCAGCCCACTCCCCACTTTCCCTCCGAAACGGCCCTGATTGGAGGGGGAGGAGAAGAGCGTTGAAGGGTAAAAATAACGTCTAAGGAAACCGGATCCTGCGATTTTTTCTAACTCTTGTTCGAAAGTTTTTTTCCCAAAATAGTCACAAAACCACTCACACAACAACCTCCTTCTGTTGCTGCTACAACCCCTCCAAGTTCCAAGAATACGACCCGCATTCCTCCACTTTTTGACCTTCACCGACCCAAAATACGACCCTCTCCTCTCTTGGAAGAAAAAATACGATCTCCTCGCTGAGAACTGCGCTAGCGTACGATGATCGTGATTTCTAATTGACCTTTATTCTCAGCATTTCTGCTGCTGAGTTTTTGTGGGCGGATCACTGAGAACTAGGAAGGTTTGGTCTCACTTGTGAAAGCACGACTAAAATAGTACTTCTCGATGTCGACTTAACTTCTGGTAAGAGACCGATCAGGAACAGAACGAAAATCAGGAGGTAGAGATGACCTTGAAAAGGCAGCCAGGAAATTTTAAGATTAATGACTGATAAGCGTTTCTCGAAATCTGTGGAGCTCGCCTTTCGACAGTGCTGACGGACCATTCTTACAATTTCTTCACTTGCTTACCTCTTTGAAATTTACCGCTTAAGCCTCAGTGGCATAGGGGATTCATAGAGTAACGGTGAAAATGGCATTGGAGGGGGAAATTCTACTGTGGTCTATCTCTCCAGCGCTATGGATTTTTTGAAGCGAATTTTCGATCAGTACCGGCTAAGAGAGCCAAATGGAGCATGGAGGTATCTCGAGCCAGGGCCGCACATTTTTGCCTAGGCCTGAGGGCGTAGGGAGGATTCAACAGGGAAGGAACCGCACGGCCAAGCGCACGGCCAACCGCACGGCTATGACCAAGTGCGAAGAAATGTTAGAAACGTTAGGTATATCCACAACACTAGAGACGTACACCCCAATGAATTAGCCCCTCCTACACCATTTTCACCAATAGCAACACGTCATGCTTGCTCGAATTTTTCAGAAGTGATTAACATTTTTCAGTCCGCAGGTCTCGCGAACTGCGGGCTTTCGACATGGGTGATGCCCTTCCGATTGTTGAACCAACTCTCGTGGCCCGGAAGCAGTCCCGAGGTAGGTCATGCTTCGTACTACAAAGATCCTCTTCAACTATTTTGACAAGCTCTTCTGGAAAAGCAGAGGGTAAGGCGGCGAGGGTCTCTCGATTTCGTGGGCACGCACCATGAAGAATGCTGGGGGTTGTTCCAAACAGAAAACTCTAACGGAATGACCAAACTCGATTCGGGTAAAAAGCCAGCTGACCTGAGCGGAACTCGGCAAGTGCTAAGTGGCAGGGCCCCACTTGGCAAAGAAAGGGTACACTTGGCAGTGTTGGCTTCGAAATACATATTTCTGTCCAGCCATCAGAAAGAGGGTTTCCACCAGGCAAAGTAAACCTAGAGAACTGTGGGCTAAAGAAAAGAGTTTGACATCAGTTCACTATTCGACACCAAAAATCTACATTTTAAGGGTTGGGTACCGCTGCCGAATATCAACCGCTTGCGTCCACTGTGAAGCCGGCCACACTTGCCGTACGGGAATCGGACAGTATTGAACCACTTGGAGGTAAGGGTAAGTTACAAGTAAGTTCGAAATAACGGCAACTTTCTATCTATTGCAGTTGCACCCTATTTATTTCCTGGCAAATTTTTAAAACGACCAGATGAATGGTTGCGTTTTCGGGGCTTCGTTCTCTAGAAAATGGCATTTCAAAACAACCGAGTCTTTCAAGCACAAGGAAAGGTCGTGTTTTCAGGCCTTTCACCAAAAGTGGAGTCGCGAGTTTCTGCATTGCGACGCTCGGTCGTCGGTCGCGCGCGACCGATGGGCGACGGAAAATGGAGTTTCTTCTGGCGTGATTCGGTTACGCCGTCGATCTGGGCAACATATGGCGATTTCCATCAGTATGCTACAAACATGGAGGAGGTTTGTGATAGAATGATCTCTGGAATCTCCCCATTGTGACTGAACTTTTCATTAAGGAGCATTCCTGATCCCTTACCTGGTGATGTTGCTGATCGGCGGCTTGCCGATGTTCTATATGGAATTGGCCCTTGGTCAATTTCATCGATCTGGCTGTGTGAGCATTTGGCGGAAGGTGTGCCCCCTCTTCAAAGGTGACATTTTTAGTTTTTTCCTGGGAGATGTTCTTACCAATCAGGTCGTTGTTTTAGGCATAGGGTACGGTATCTGTTTCATCTGCACGTTCATAGCCTGTTTCTACAACGCCATTATTGCACACGCTGTCTATTTTGTTGCAAGCTCGATAGCGGTGAGTCGTTCGAAACGAAGTGCATTGTTCCTTCAAGTATGTGGGCGGAACTTCCCATGAGGCTAGAAACCTCGCAGGGCATATAATTAGCGAGGGTCAAACGGTGTATCAATGTTATGCAGCATATATGAACCGTTTTGTGCAAGTCTGTCTGTTCATGGGTCCTAGACGAACCATCTTTCGGTGTCCCATTTCGGTGCATCTCCGCCTGTTGTGGGCGGGGGATGCACCGAAATGGGACACGTTTGACGGCTGAAATTCGAATTTGATTATAAAACCCGTATAGGAACCGAAAATGGGTCAAGGTGTGCATTGAGCTTGTCAGGTTGATTATATGAGGTGCAACTGCGGTGGAACGCTCTCTGGAATAGGCGGTGCTTGATAAAAAAAAAGTCAATAACTCAGTCATAAGGGGTAAGGAGTCAACCGTTTCCTGTAACCATCTTACTCTGGATGGCGCTCAGGGAACGGTACACATCGGGACTTAGTAAAGGACATGTACGATAAGGTCAAGGCAGCTGTACTGTAGCTGACCTAGCAAAACGGTAGGCATCACGGTTGGGTACACCAAGGGTCAGCTCTGAGCCCGTTCCTCTTCCTCCTAACACTAGATGTCATGGTGAAGGGGCTCATAGAAGGACCATTAAAGACCATCCTCTACGCTGACGACATCGCCCTGATAGCGGATAGCAGAGAAGAACTACAGGCCAAGGTGCAGAATGGCAGGAAGTCCTGGCAGAAGGTGGGCTACGGCTGAATGTCAAGAAGACCAAGTTCCTGAGCTCTAAAGAGGGTACAGAGCCGATCGTGGACGGCAAGGGGGAAATTATTGAAAGAGTGTAGGAATTCCGATACCGACCATGCAGTTAAAGCTTGGATCGATGCGGCATGTATGAAAAGGTGGCAAAAGGAATACCCTTTGGGAACGCACTAGGGATTTTCTGCGATCGAAGGTGCTCCAGAGCGCTCAAAGGGAAGGTGTACCGGACAGTGGTAAGGCCTGCGATGCTATACGGCAGCGAGTGCTGGCCCCTGAACAAGAATCACGAAAGGCAGCTTCACTCCGCTGAGATGAGGATGCTGAGATGGGCCTGCGGCTGGACGCGACTGGACAGGGTCAGGAACGAGGATGTCAGAGCGGTCATGCAGACTGCCCCTGTCCAGCTGAAGGTGGGAAACAGTCTGCGATGGTATGGGCACGTGCTAAGGAGGCCACAGGACCACCCAATAAGGAAGGCAATAGGATCTTGAACCCAGCGAAGGCGATCACGACGAGGTTCAGAGTAGAGGTGGAAGACGATCTCAATTAGGATCCCACTGAAATCAGGGCCACGGCAGAAGGTGCACTGGACAGAACGAAGGAAGCGGCTCGTCTCACAAAATTAGTGAGCCCTGTGACTGCGCGGGGAGGAGCGTTAGGGAGAAGAGGAAGATATTATGATTTCGATGGGTAACTTTTGATTTTCAGTGGAAGATTAAAGCTTCTTCGTTTGAAATGTCAGTTTTTCAGCTCGAAGTCCCTTGGAAAACATGCAATAATTCATGGAACACTCCTCTCTGCACGGATTCGCTGAACGACACGTTGGGGAAGAGCGGTGAGCGACTGACAACACCCAGCGAGGAATTCTACTTGTAAGCACTTTCCGTCATTCTTCACATTTTCAAGTGCCAAAAGGACATCTATAGAGATTTCTTAGAAAATTAGTGTGTTTATTATTTACGAAACGACGTTCAAGCCAGTATTGCGCAAAACGCTTGCGAGCGCGCGCGGTTGCGTGGCAGCCTCAACTAACACATTTGAGAGAAAATAGATATATCGTGAAT